AGCCAACCGTCCGAACCAATCAACCCAACGACTAACAAGATGAACAAGAGAAAGAGACAATACACAATCGACACACGCACGCACACACACATACACGCGCGCGCACACACACGCACACACACACACGCGCGCGCACACACAGACACACACACACACACACCTCGTTGAGAAGAGAAAGAATGCCGCCTTTGCCCGCGCAGAGAAAGATGATGTCTTGGTTGTCTGGATACGAAAACTCGGAGCCATCAATACCTTCTTGCTTGTACGCTTCAACCTCCATCTGAACACATGTCAGCAGTGCACGTAAAGAAGAACAGCAGGAGTGTGTCAAGGGTAGGTGGGCGCAGTCGAAGCAGTGGACAGATACACAGGCAAAGCCAGCACCGACAAAGGCAGCATTGGCACACACTCACACACATTTACACGAATTAAAAATTCACCTTCACCCAAGCACGCAAGCGTACACAGACACACAGACACACAGACACACAGACACACACTTCGAAGATGTGTTGGTTGAAGAATCGCTGCAGGTGCTCGTTGGTGATGTTGATGCAGAGCTGCTCAAGTGAATTCTCTTCAAACTGCTCAAACCCAAAGATGTCCAGCACACCCATGCTGCACGCCTTGAGGTGCGACACGCTCGCGTCGCACGCCAGCGTGTCGTTGAGGGACGAGATGAGCCACGCAAAGCATCGCGAGTACAGCGATTTCGCAATGGAATCACGCGCGTCTGCAGCAGCAGTTGGATCGTGCAACCGCACAATCTCCTCTCCTGGTGTGGTGGCGGAGGATGATGATGATGATGATGATGATGATGATGATGATGATGGTTGTGGTGTATGGTGGTGGTGGCAGTGTATGATGGGTGGACGGAAGATGAGTGCAACGTGATTGACGATGGTCGCAGGCGCACTCTTGGAAGCACCTGGAATCTTGCGAGCCGCCACCACCTCCCGACAATGCCACGACCACATGCACGTGCTCACCTCGCGTTGTTGTGACGGCCGTTGTCAGGATGCTTTGCAGTTGTTGTTCATCAAGACCTGAGGCACCAAGGAGGTGCAGTTTGGTTGCAAGGGATGGTGTTTTGTTGGGGTTTAGCAAAACGCGTCAAATTGGGAATGCTGTTGGTTCGGTTACAGATAGACAGACAGACAGAGAGACAGAGACAGAGACAGAGACAGAGACAGAGACAAGCAGACAGAGACAGAGACAGAGACAGAGACAAGCAGACAGAGAGGCAAGACACACGCAAAACACAGACACACGCGGACCTGTGAGCTCGGCTGCGTGTTGCAGCGAGGGCGACGACGATGAGGAGACGCTGGCGCCGTCCTGATACCAATGTCATGTGAGGATGAGGACAACAAGGAGAGGAGTGCATGCACGCGACGAGTGTGAGGACTCAAGAAATCATGGATGACACACACACACACACATACACGCACACAACCGTGACAGAAGCAGAGGCAGAGCGGAGGAACAAACGAACAAGCGCGCGCACAGACACACACGCACACAGGCACAGACAGACAGACAGACAGACAGACACACACACACACAGACAAACACACACAGACAGACAGACACAGACAAACACACACACACACATACACACACAGACACACGCACGTTTGGCGCCGGTGTGAACGCAATGTCGCCAATGTGCAGGATTGCGGATATGACATCAAAGAGCGCATCGATCTCCGTCGCGTCGAAGCCAAAGTTGAACATCATGTCCAGCAGCTGGTGATAGCGTTGGTGGTGGTGGATGATGATGATGATGATGATGCATGTGTGAGCAGTGGTGGCGGTGGTGATGATCGTGCATGAGTGCATGATGAGTAGCAACTGCGTGTGAGGCGACGTGAAATTGTACAACAAGACAGAGAGCCAACAATGTCCGGACAGCCAGCAGACGCATGCTCATACCTGGTTGAAATGCTGCTCCATGTTGCGCTTCTTGTTGTGTGCGCTCTTTGAAGTGTTGCGCACGTACGCGTGCTGGGATACGGGCCTGATTGGCGGTGTGATTCTCAGTGTCAGCGATTGTGCAAGGGGAAAAGAGCAGCGAGGCACGGGGGAACGAAGCAAGAAAGGAAGCAAGAAAGACCGCATCTGTCCTTTCCCAAAGCACACACACATACACACATACACACATACACGCATATACACACACATATACAGTTGCTCACTTGAGGTGGCGCTGTGATCTGTTCTCTTCGCTCATGCCCTCCAGGACGTAGTAGAAGATGTGGAAGTTGCTCTCGTTGTCCTGTACATGACGGGACAGGTGGTGATTGTAATTGGTGAGGCATGGCGTGGCATGAATACATGTTCGTACGCTCGTGCGTGCATGGCCGTTGCGGATGTGTGTGTGTGTGTGTGTGTGTGACAGACGAAAGCACCTCCTCACAAGAGCGTGCATGAAAGTGGCATGAGTTGGGTCGAGGGCTCACTTGTAGATGCGTGACGCGTGATTTCTCCAGCAGATACGTGGTCAGCTCAGCTGTTGGTGTGTTGGTTGTGTGAATGTGTTGGATGGCATGAGCATCAGCAAGGCGCAGCCTGCACGCACGTGCACAACACAGTCAGACAAAGATTCGCGAACGCACATGCACATGCACAGAAGAGACACACCTCCAAGCACAGAGCCAGTGCGATCAAAGTTGAGGTTGATGTATTTGCCGAAGCGTGACGAGTTGTCGTTCATCACTGCACAACACAGGTGAATCAGGGTGTAAGCTGACATTAGACCCAGGAAGCGACTCGAATGTGCATACGGGTGTGCACACGCTTGTAGTGATGCTACACACAGACAGACAGGCAGACACACACACACACACACACAGACGACCACACAGACAGACAGACACACACAGACAGACAGACACACACAGACAGACAGATACACACACACACACCTGTCTGTGCGTTGCCGAATGCTTCAAGGAGCGGGTTGAGGCGAAGGATGTTGGTCTCCAGGATGGTCTTGCCTGCTTTGCACACCTCCATCACGTGTGTGATGATGTGTTTCGTTGTCTCCGTCTTTCCAGCTCCGCTCTCCCCGCTGTGACCAGCAGGCCACAAGGCAATGACACGTGGCGATGGTGAGTTCAAATGCATTGTGTGATTGTGTGATTGTGTGGGATAATGCATGCAGGTGTGCGTGCGTGTGTACACGCGTGTGAGTGTGTGTTGCACGAAGGTGTTGATGTTTATGCGAGAGCAGCAACCGCTGCTGCCAGCGACTGACCTGATGACGAAGCTTTGATCTGTCTTGGTCTGCATCATGCGCTCGTAGGCGTAGTTGGCAACAAAGTACACATGCGGGGCAACCGCGGTGCGTGGGACGCGGCCTTTGTACTTGTCTTGCATCTATCGATGACGGTGATGAAGCGGGAGGCGGGGTGTGAGAGTGAACAGTAAGAGAAGCCTGAGGGCAAGCGATCGGCAGTAATCATGTTGAACAAGCTCAAGCACACAGTGTACAAGCTCACAGACACCAACACAAACACAGACACAGACACAGACAGAGTGAGACAAACACAGACACAGACACCAACACAAACACAGACAGACAGACAGACAGACAGACAGACAGACACACACACACACACACAACACACACACACACACACACACACACACACAACACTCACACACATACAC